TAAAGGTTTATACACAGTATATAATTATTTTGATAAAATTTTTTTTTGAATTGCAGTATACACCATAACATATTTATGTTTTTATATTCTGTTGTAGTGTTACTGGAAACTTACAATGTCTCCATTATTTATATCATACAGTGAAGGGAAATTCCTCGCAGATGAAGGGACCATTGTGTTGACATCCATAATCATAAAAATACCCTGTTGAGTTTTGCATGCACAAGCAGTTCACTGAAGTATCAATTATGGGGCGATCAGGATACCAGAAGGGGGCACTTCTAGGCACAGTGCCTCCGGTCACCCAGTGCCAGCTGCCCTCCTCATTTTTATCATAACCACCTATCCAGTGCCACACTGGTTTATCTGTCGAGTAAAATTAAAATTAATAAGTCTTCAGAGTCAATATACATCTTTTTTAATCAGTTATTGAATCAAGTTAGACTAATTTTAATTTGTACGAGATCCCTAAACAAAACTGTCTCCCACACACACATACACACACACACTGGAGGCAGGATCCATACACAGCTTTAAGAAGAGGAATGATAAAACTCATAGAGCAGGAAGAGTGACCTAGTAGCGACCAGTGATGTGGCGGTGCCAGGAGCTGTGACTCGACCCCTGCAACCACAACTAGGTGAGTACACATACACACATATACACACATACACATACGCACGCACATACGCACACACACAGCAGTGACACCGCGTGGGCGAGTCACAATCTTAGTTCTATGTGAATTTATGCGTTTTGTGGGCTACCCAAGGTTACTGATGGGGTCATTTAAGTGTGTCAAGGTAATGAACCACCTTCGAAGTGATTTACAAGTTTCCCTGAGCCACATACGTGTGGGGAGAGCCACAATTTTATAAGTGAACTTGAAAGTAATATTTGGTGGGGCAAGTCAGAGAGGGCAGACCTAGTGTGGTGCAGACGTCGTGCCACATGTCACCCAAGGAAGTTAATAAACTGAAATCAATGTGTGACAAGTGAAAGAAGACATAAAATAGGAATGTACTATATATATAGAGAAGAAACAGAGGTGGAAATACGCCAGGCCATAACAACTAGTTGGACAATCTACAGGCTGCATCGCAAGTATTTCGCCTGTGTAGGGATGTGGGGAGTCAGTTGTGGGTTTCCTGGCAACCACCAAGCTGACTTTGAGCACTCCCACTCTCCTAGCATCAAAAAGAATAGGCTAATAAGTAGTCAATACCGAATAGTAATTGGTAATTTAAAACAGAACCAGGGCTGGCAGACAGGTGTCTATTAGACAGAGCCACTAGTAGACTATGTGTAACAGGCAAATCCCACATGTACACTCATACACCCTAACACACTTCCACACACACACACACACACACACACACACACACACACACACAGCTACGGGGATTGTCCTACGAAGAAAAGTTGAGGGAAATCGGCCTGACGACACTGGAGGACAGGAGGGTCAGGGGAGACATGATAACGACATATAAAATACTGCGCGGAATAGACAAGGTGGACAAAGAAGGGATGTTCCAGAGATGGGACACAGACACAAGAGGTCACAATTGGAAGTTGAAGACTCAGATGAATCAAAGGGATGTTAGGAAGTATTTCTTCAGTCATAGAGTAGTCAGGCCGTGGAATAGCCTAGAAAGTGACGTAGTGGAGGCGGGAACCATACATAGTTTCAAGGCGAGGTATGATAGAGCTCATGGGGCAGGGAGAGAGAGGACCTAGTAGCAATCAGCGAAGAGGCGGGGCCAGGAGCTGTTTAATCGACCCCTGCAACCACAAATAGGTGAGTACAAATAGGTGAGTACACACACACACACACACACACACACACACACACACACCACAGATTAGGCCTTGTGTCTAATCGACATGTGCCTATGACAGAATGGTAACATAAGAACATAAGAAAGGAGGAACACTGCAGGAGGCCTGTTGACCCATACTTTGCAGGTCCTTTACAATTCATCCCACTAACAAAACATTTGCCAAACCCAGTTTTCAATGCTAGGTAGACTGTTCCACTCATCAACTACCCTATTTCCAAACCAATACTTTCCTATGTCCTTTCTAAATCTAAACTTATCTAATTTAAATCCATTACTCCGGGTTCTCTCTTGGAGAGACATCCTCAAGACCTTGTTAATATCCCCTTTATTAATACCTGTCTTCCACTTATACACTTCCATCAGGTCTCCCCTCATTCTTCGTCTAACAAGTGAATGTAACTCAAGAGAGAGGCTGGGAGGGTCAGGCCTAGTGTCTAATCGACATGTGCTTAGGACAGAATGGTAACTGACACACACACACACACACACACACACACACACACACACACACACATACACACACACACGCAGACACACACAGATACTCACACACACGTACAACAGGCCTAGTGTCTAATCGACATGTGCCTAGGACAAAATGGTAACTAACACACTCACACATTCCCATACACACATGGACCCTATTTTTCCCTCTCCATCTCTCTCCCCCTTTGCCACTGTCTCACCTTCCCCTCTCACTCTCCCTCCCTGTTCCCCTCACTACCTCCCTTCTCCCTCTCCCTCCCTCCGCCACACACACACACACACACAGGATGTTCCAGAGAGGGGACACAGAAACAAGGGGTCACAATCGGAAGCTGAAGACTCAGACGAGTCACAGGGACGTTAGGAAGTATTTCTTCAGTCATAGGGTCGTCAGGAAGTGGAATAGCCTAGCAAGTGAAGTAGTGGAGGCAGGAACCATACATAGTTTTAAGAAGAGGTATGACAAAGCTCAGGAAGCAGAGAGGGAGAGGACCTAGTAGCGACCAGTGAAGAGGCGGGGCCAGGAGCTGAGTATCGACCCCTGCAACCACAATTAGGTGAGTACAATTAGGTGAGTACACACACACACACACACAGCGTTCCGATACCTTAGTAAGGAATCGTTCAAGACACTGTACACCGTGTACATCAGGCCCATACTGGAGTATGCAGCACCTGTTTGGAACCCGCACTTGATCAAGCACTTCAAGAAATTAGAGAAAGTGCAAAGGTTTGCGACAAGGTTAGTTCCAGAGCTAAGGGGAATGTCCTATGAAGAAAGGTTAAGGGAAATCGGCCTGACGACATTGGAGGACAGGGAGGTCAGGGGAGACATGATAACGACTTATAAAATACTGCGTGGAATAGACAAGGTGGACAAAGACAGGATGTTCCAGGGAGAGTACACAGAAACAAGAGGTCACACTTGGAAGCTGAAGAGTCAGATGAGTCAAAGGGATGTTAGGAAGTATTTCTTTAGTCATAGAGTTGTCAGGCAGTGGAATAGCCTAGAAAGTGACGTAGTGGAGGCGGGAACGATAGATAGTTTTAAGACGAGGTTTGATAAAGCTCATAGAGCAGGGAGAGAGAGGACCCAGTAGCAACCAGTGAAGAGGCGGGGCCAGGAGCTAAGACTCGACCCTTGAAACTGCAAATAGGTGACTACAAATAGGTGAGTACACACACACACACACACACACATACACACACACACATAAACATGCACACACACACATAAACATGCACACACACGCACACCACTTCCTCTCTCCCCCCTTGCCTTTCCCTCTCTTCCTTTCCCCCTCTCTCCCTTTACTCCCATATCCTTCCCCATCTCTCTTCCCTCTGGCACTGTCTCCCCCTCTCACTGTCTCCCCCTCTCACTGTCTCCTACTATTCCTCTCCCTTTCTCCATTCCTCCAACAAACACCTCCACACGCCTACACAAAAAAATGGGTTGCCAAAGAGCATGATGGAGAACCAGGAGACTGCTTGATGAGCCTGGAAGGGAAGATTGGGAGGAAGACTGGAAAGGAAAGAAGAGTGGGGAAGGAAGCTAGAAGAGCATAGCAGGAAAATTGTGGAGAGGATAGCTGCAGAGAACAGGAAATGTGGAGCTACAAGCCACGGCAACAGAAGCTAAGATACAAAGCATATAAGAGGAACTAAAAAAGATGAAACAGCCCAAAGATCTAAAGAGCAATACAGGCATGACACTGGGAACTGCCACATCGGTAACAAATGAGGGGACTGTAGAGAACAAAGGAGTTAATCTTTATGCAAAGGCACTATCAGACCACCTTGGAGTCCGGGAAAAAGACGAAGAGCACACCAATAACAGACGAGGGGACTGAAGGAAATGAAAAAGCTAAGCTGTATGCAGAGGCCCTAATAGACCACAGCAGTGCCCAGGAAAAGCTGAGAAGGGAAAATGGCAGACCACTGAGCACAGGGACATCAGACAGAGAAGAGATTGAGGGATGAAATGTTGCAATGGGGGCAACTAAATCGACTCAGGGGATGCAAAGGGAAATGCAGTGGGATAATGAAAGGGAGAGGTCGGTCTTTGTTTAAGGGCTTGAGGAAGTTGAAGGGGGAAACTTATGAAGCAAGAAGACAGGGAGAAAAAAGTGATTGAAAGTATCATGAAATCAATAGGAGAGGACGATATGACCCAGTCGGCAAATTTTCTGAGTAAAGAGGGGTGTGCAAGTGGAAAAAAACGACCAGTCAAAGTGATCTTCAAGGAAGAATCGGCTCAAAACAGGATCCTGCAGGAGAAAGCACGATTAAAACTTAATCTGGATTGCCTGGGAAGAAGAAGCAGAAGTGTGTATATGTGGCTTTGGGTTTCCTCAAAGTTCGGTACCAGGACCGGTACTCATACTGGTGTATGTAAATGAAATGCTTGAAGAGCGAGAGTCAGGTGTGACTTTAAAGAGAGTAAATTCAGAACAAAATAGAAAGCTAAGAATGGACCTGGCTGTTCTATAAGATTGATCTGACAAGTCGTTATTGGAGTTCAGTCAAAGAGAGTGCAAGATAATGAAAATTTGAAAGAGCAAAGTATTGGGAGACAAAGGCTGTAAACCTCATTCAAGGAGAAGGATCTCAAGATGAGCATAATACCAAGCATATCACCTGAGAATCACATCAACAGAATTACATATGTGGTATATTTAAGATCAGTTTCCAACGATAAGTCCTGTCGGCTCTGTATATGACATATGTCATACCCAACTTAAAATGTGCAGAGGCTTGCTTCAATGCTAGTCTTAAGTGCACAGAATAATCAGATAAACAGATAGGGTAGATAAAGACAGCCTGTTTGAGAGGCAAGAGACAGGTAAACGAGGAAGCAATTTTACGTTAGCACGAGCATCTGCTTCAAGGTAGTCATGAAGTAGATTGAACTGCAGAACGAAAAGTTAGACACAGATTCCATGCACAGCTTTAAAAGTAGGTATAATAACGCTCAACAAGACTTGCTATTCTTATTCACAGGCTGTGGGATCAGAAACGGAATACCATATTCTGAAACGATTGATGTTAAAAAATGGTGAGTGGTTTTCCGAATTTGTTCGAGTCACTCAAACATACTTGGACAGAATTTAAGTTATTTCATCTATACCAGCGTATAAAATTGCTACAGCTAATGAGTATTAGCCACCCTTATCAGAGATATGAGTGATTTTAAAAGCAAACATTTTTATCAGTTGAGAAATATAGGTAATACAGCAGACAGAATATTCTTACACTCAATAAGAACGTGTTGGTAGATATCACCAAGTTGCTCACAGCTGTCCACTGTTGCCAGATCTGAGGTGTACTGTGAGTTGCTGAGGCTCCTGCAGTAGTCTCTGGCAGTAGTCCTGAAGACAGTGAAATCAGAAAAATGATTATGGTGCATATGCAAAATGAATCTTTTCAGCAAAACATTGTTCTCCTCTCTTATTAAGTATGATGCACAAAATGTTTCGAGCTCAAGTTCTTTTATCTATAAAACGTTAAGTTTTGTTTGTTAAACTATAGCTCATAGTATATACGGAAAAAAGTTTGTCACAGAAATGAACCGTAGCTTTAATGAAGTTTTCACGCCTTCTTTTCTATAGTAAACTGAGTGGATTCTCTCCAGCAAACTTTAATGCACGGTGCAGAGCCAATTGCGTACTGGTATACGTTATTTGCTTTAAACCGTCAGCGTAGCAATAATAACTTTTCCTGAAACAAAGAAATCTACTTGGTATGTCTCATGAGATTATTTGGAGCTTTTCTTTGTTATTTGGTTGAGAATCAATTTTAGCAAAATATTAGGTAATTGCTATTTTTTTGTGATACGCTTTGATAAAACCACTGCAGCATCTATTGGCCCATTCTTATAAATGAGTATTGTGCTTTTGGATAAGAAGTGCAAAGTAACCATAGATTTTTAGAAGTACAAGCACACCATTGTTTCTATAATATTAATATGATTTTATCCAGCTACCTTCGTTTAAGTGTGTGTGAGCAATTCATATCATATGTAACTGGTTATCACACACACACACATTATATATATATATATATATATATATATATATATATATATATATATATATATATATATATATATATATATATATATATATATATAATATATAAACAACACTGCGCTAGCCAAGGATTCGAACCCATGTTGTGGTTCTCGCTTACCATGAGGCAGGCCAGTACAACATGGGTTCGAATCCATGGATAGCGCAGTGATGTTATTGATCAATACCACTCGTTCGTGGTTACAATAATATATATATATATATATATATATATATATATATATATATATATATATATATATATATATATATATATATATATATATATATATATTGATCAATACAACACTGCACTAACCAAGAAGTCGAACTCATGCTGTTTTGGCCCGACTAATTGTGAGAGAAAACGCATGACGCTTTGGACCACTAGACTACACAATCGTTAACAATGGTACATCCAACGAAGCTAGATGTTGTAACCACCATCGAAGGACATACGGTGGTGTGGACGCCTCTGAGCTAATTTCATTCTACTCCCTGTTTGTGTACTAGCTCAACAAGCATCCACACCATCGTATGTCCTTCGATGGTGGGTAAAACATCTAGCTTCGCTGGATGCACCATTGATAAGGATTGTGTGGTCTAGTGGTCTATAGCGTCACGCGTTTTCCCTCACCATGGCCCACCTCATAGTGAGGGAAAATCACATGACGCTCTAACACACTGGACCACTCAATCATGGAAGAATCATGCACCCAGCAGAGCTAGGTATTTTACGGTGATCCGAGGACATACGGTGGTGTGGGTGCCTCTGAGGTAATTTCATTTTCCTCCCCGTTTGGTGAACTAGCCTCCAATAGCAGTGTATGTATTATTGTAAGCACGAGCGAGTGGTATTGAATCAATAAAAAATACTGCGACTAGCCGAGGACTCGAACCCATGTCGTTTTTGCACGCCTCATGGTGAGCAAAAATCACATGACGTGCGAGAGAAACACTGAGTGATGAATATTATGATGGTGCCCCACTATAAGGTTTTCTACGTAAGAGGCGTTGCATCTTCTACGTTATTGTGATTGTATTGTGAGGCGCTACTGCGACTGCACCAGTTTAACACTATAATGTCTAATAATGCATTGGTGTTGATATATAATGGAGTATAATGACACTGATGTGGTGGCAGTGAGGGTTCAAAGTCAAGTCTCGTCTTGCTGCCTGGAGAGCTGCCTGATGTAAAGTAAAGATGCTCCACATTAACTCACCAGTTCGTGTAACCTTCGTGGAAGTACAAGCACTCGCTGCCCACAACTATGAAGGGATCGTGACATGCTGGTGATGCATCATCATGTTAAAGTAAAAACGTGAAATATATGTTAGAACATATACTGTATGACCGTTATGGGTTTAGCGCTTCCCCTTGAGTATAATAAAATAAGTGCTAGAGATGCATGAACTTCAAAGTACTCTGAGCGTTATCAGAGTTATACGAGTTATTTCACATATTTTCCGTTTTCATCACATATTTGGCGAGAATCATTAATTAATAATTACGTAACCACCAAAAAATGGCAAACTATCAATAAGCTTTCTCTCGGTGACAAATTAACTGAGGCACTTGATAAAATACACGGATCTCACTCTATCTGTAAACCTACTTGTACTCACCTTCGACTAATTTGGTGTTACGTAATTCCCCACCACTAGTGAGGAACACTCTACATGTCCACTTTCCGGAGTCTTCAACGCTGACAGAGTTGATGAAGATGCCGCACTGATTGTCGGTGAGATCCTCCGGTGCTCTCATCCCTGGGTGAAAGCCACTGTGGACATCCTTGACCTGTCAAGATTGTTGTGAAGGTATCAATTTACATCAACAGTGTAGTGTAATCTTCAACTAAACTAATGAGAAACTCTATAACCTGTAAGTAATTGTGGGAAGGACATACACCCTCTATCATTATTTACGAGATAATGTACCGTCTGTTTATAGTCGCAAAATTCCTCACAACCTCTCAATACATATTTCTTTTAACTAATTTAGATACAACCATCATTATGCACCTAACCTGATATAAGGTTAGAACAAGAACCGTTTACTTAGTACACACATCACGCAGGATGATTTTCCTGTCATATTCTATCACAGAGGTTAAGTTACATTCACGAGGTACGAAATTTATTAGCCAGAGATGAGAAACTTCAGTAGGGCGATGAGAATATTATCAAGTATATTCTACTATAGATTCAAAGATTACCTTCCAGCATAGATGGATCTACTTTAACATTATTCAAAATTAAGGAAAGCGCCATCAATAACAACAACAACAACAATAATAATAATAATAATAATAATAATAATAATAATAATAATAATAATTTATTAGTAATTTCTCTAAATGTCATATATTTACTCACAAATAATAGACAAAATTGAATTACATTATTTGTCTCAAATTATGAGACAATACAGCTGATAGTAGGTTGTGTGGGGACAAGTAGTGTGGTCGACACAATTTGTAAAATAAAACGTCAGAAGTCAATACAAGATAGAACGGCTACACTGTTACATATATGTATTTGCATTGAAGCGAATATCTTTTCATGGGGAGCGTGTCTGAACATTCTTGATGTGTTGTTGATTCAAAGAATTGGAGCTACTCAAACTCTTTCATCTCCCATTCGAGAGGCACTGTATTAGCATTACAGGTTTAGAGCTTCTCCATGAACATATTAAGCGAAAAAGTAATTATAGCAACAACAAAAACAAAAAATATTATTATTATTTGTAAACAAAGTTGCATACTCAAAGGCAAATTGTACAGTTACAAGCACAAAATATCATAAGATATTATTTAATGTGTCAGCATTTGGATTGATCCCTGCAACACTTCACCATTATAGCTGGACAGCTGAGAAAAATTATATACATTAAGGTCAGATATTGTAACAAGCTTGATAACAATCTGTGCCTTTACTGCAAACAATACATGAATCATGAGTGTTTAAAAAATGGATACATTGAGGATATCCATAATTTTGCGGCAGTTATGGCGATGACAGACAAGATTATGTACCCAGAATATGGGAGATTCAGTGCTGTCCTGTAGTCAGGAGGTATAGAAGGAAAGCTATCTGAATAACGGGGAGGATAAAAATGTATGGGATTGGGATGGAATTATTGGGAGTAAAGAAGCTAATTTCTCGACTAAAGAGGCTTACAACCACTTGTCAACGCTGATGATAACTAACACTGCTAGAGAGCTGGCTCTAGACTTTTTCTCTTGTAAAAGTATTAAAAGAAAATAAATACATTACATCTACATATTCAAGTCGTTGTTTTAACTAATCAGTGGAGTCCAAAGATAACGTCAGTATTATCTTAATATCTGAATGCTCATCCACACAGCTATGAACTCTGTGATTTTTAATAACATACTATAAACTGATATTAACATTACATTGTATTTATATTATTTAATCGATGCAGCAAATATTTAAGGTACCTGGAAACTCCTCCCGTCTTCGTGGTCCCAGAAACAAAGAATAAATTCTTGCTTGACTCCACAAGAGAGAGTTAGCGATTCTCCTGGTGTCACCTGCACGTCAGCTGCGTCGAAGATGAGGGAGGCGTCTGCTGGGGCAAAGGAGAGCTATGTGGATCACAACGTCTCATGTTCACATGCACTCATGACATGTTGTTCATTGAGGTCATGTACACTTTTTGCTGCTAAACTGAAATTACTCACCTGACGCAGACCCCAACGATAACACAATTATCGTCAAACAGAAAATCATGTTAACCATTTTCGAACTGCAGTAGAAGTGCGGTTCAGTCAGCGTCAGTGGAGGTTATATACCTACTGGCGACTCCGCTGCTGACTGCCAGGTGTTACTTATTCTTTGCGTGGAGGACAGACCGATTAAAAGTTTTTAGGTGTTCCACCCGAACTGCTAATTTATCGCGGTAGCGCAAAAAAACAGGATTACGGAGGTCACTCCGGGTTTTTGATAGACCCCCAACTGGGCACTGTTACATCACCAAAAAGAAATATTAGTCACTTCATATTTTACAGTCATTTCATGTAGTTAATTTACACAGTACAGTATGGAATACAGTCCGACAACAAACAAGAAAAAAAAATACCATTTTACGCAGTATGGTTCAGGACGAGGTCGTCCCACGGGAGAAGCTAGTTTGATAAACACTTGTTACATGATTGTTTGGTGCAACTGTCATTAGCTTCACCAACCAGAGACTTTAATGATAAAGTCAATGGTTGGAGATACGTCTTCAGAATAGGTACCCAGGTGTTGCACATGCGTCATATTCATCAACTTATTGATATTAAATACCATTACTGAATAACAAAAAAGGCGCAATACCGTGACTGGAACGGTACACAAATAACCCGCACATAAAAGAGAGAAGCTTACGACGACGTTTCGGTCCGACTTGGACCATTTACAAAGTCACACTTACCAGAAGTGGAGCAGGACGGCTATATATAGGCAGGAAGAGGTGGTGGTGGTAGTAGTATTAGTAGTAGTAGTAGTAGTAGTAGTAGTAGTAGAGGTAGTAGTAGTGGTAGTAGTGTGGAATAAGGAGGAGGAGCCAGTCAAATACGAAGGAAGGGGAGCACTGCTAGGGAGCTAGGTGCCCACTTTCCCTTTCACCCACCTCTGTGCGCTTGCTCTCCCTCTGTGGGCACCTAGTTCTACTACTACTACTACTACTACTACTACTACTACTACTACTACCACCACCACCACCACCACCTCATCCTGCCTATATATAGCCGTCCTGCTCCACTTCTGGTTAGTGTGACTTTGTAAATGGTCCAAGTCGGACCGAAACGTCGTCGTAAACTTCTCTCTTTTATGTGCGTGTTATTTGTGTATATACCATTACTGCTTTGATACTTGTCTCTAGGTATACAAGGTATACGAGATGCCTAAGAGAACTAAGTTTGCTGTTGACCCTACTATTTAGACGCACAGGAGCCAGGAGCTATGAATCAACTCCTGCAACCACAATTAGGTGAGTAAGCACACACACACACACTCAAAATAATATGAACACCTGCTGTTGAGTTGTCGAACTGTCGACCTAACGAACCGTCGAATGCCTGAATAACCAATTTAAATGTGTTACAGGTTCCTTTTTTTGTGGTTCTTTTCAAACACACCTATTCATACATTTCAGAACGAAGCAAAAACAAGAACGAAAGACGTCACAGACTTCCAGAGAGGACACATTGTTGGAGCGCGGAGTCCTGGAGCATCGGTCACCAAAACTGCTGAAATGCTCCATGTTTCAAGAGTAATTGTCTCTATGGTCATGTCTGCATTCCAAAATGATCATAAGACAAGCTCCAACAAAAACAATAATGGAGGCAAAAAGAAGCTGGGTGACCGGGACCGTCGAGTATTAAAGTGTATTGCGTCAAAATGTCATAAGACTATAGATGCAAAAGTGACTACAGAGCTAAATCAGCATCTTGCAAACAAGGTTTCAACTAATACCTTTCCTTTCAAAAGGAAATACTGCAAAGCGCAGAGAATGGTATAATGACCAAAAGAATTGGAAATTGGACCAATGGAAAAACGTTATGTATTTCGACATATCTTCCTTTGCGCTTTTCCCAACTTCTGGACGAGTTTATGTCTGGAGACAGACTAAAGAAACTTATAATCATGAAGTATGGAGGCGAATCCGTGATGACTTGGGCAACGATATTGTGGAAATCTCTTGGCCCGGTGTTAGTACTGCATGGTAGGGCTAACGCAAGTTTATCCCATGTTACAAACACTGTTTCCTATTGGCGGCGCTATCTTCCAAGACGATAATACACCAATTCACTCCGCTAGAGCTATTCAAAATAGTCATGAAGGACATGAAAGTGAAGTAGAACACTTGGATTGGCCCCAACAAACGCCAGACCCAAATATTATCAAACATTTGTAGGGTCAATTGGAAGCGCAAGTCAGGAACCGATTTCCTGACTTGCTGTGGTATGCTTTGTGGCGGATTTCTGACCGCCCTCTCTTTTTGTCTGCCGAGCTGGTTCGGTAGATGTGAAGTTGCTATCCCGGAGCGCTGGTTTACTGGCATGAAGGGTAGGGTATGGCACAGGTTCCACGCTGCATCTGCAGTACTTGCGGGCTCGAGGTCCTCTCGGATGAGAGGGGGAACTTGAGGCCCTTTCATGCCTTCTAGTGACTGTCCCTCCGCTGTCCCCCCTTTTTTTTCCTTTCTTTTTTTTTTTCTTTAAAATAATAAGAAAGACGTCCCACTATCATGGAGTCTTTGTTCTGCGATAACCCTCCTCCTCCCAGGGCACTTTCTGTTCCTGCATCCTGTTCTGACCGGGCTTTGTTATTGGACCAGTCTCTAGACTCTTCCCATACCCCTGCACCTTCTGCTGGTGACACTCCGTCATCTGCCTCTGCCTCTTGCACGCATTTAACTCTGCGTCCGGCTTCCCCGAATTGGTACGATGGCTTTCAAATCACCCACCTTCCTTGGGTCGGGCGTCCCATAGTACTACACCTAAACGTTCCAGATCATTTGCTGACGACAGTTCTTCGATGTCTGCTCATTTCACCCGAAAACGACCTACGCGACACCCATTTCCTTTACGCACTATGTTTACAAGTATGCAGTGAACTAAATTCTTTTCCTTACAAATGACATCTGGTAAAGCTCTTTTACGTCACGTTGGCCAAAATATATCTTTTTCTCGCTCTTCGTAGTGATGCCTGCATCATTATAGTTCAGAGTGCAGAACAAGCTCATGATCTTTCCCATATTACTTCCATTGATAACATTCAAAACATAGTTCATAAGCATGCTAATCAATTCTTGCAGTGGTACAGTGGTTTTACCGCGTACCAATGTACAAAGTGATTTTCTGTCTTGCGAGGATGATATTTGGGAGCAATTAGTCCTTCATGATCTTCATATTCTCAGAGTGGATACATATGTCCTGCCCGCTCACAGGCGGAGGCGCTTTCCTAGTAACATCGCCCGCTTAACCTTCGACTGCCGTGAACTCCCGTCCTCCGTTTGTATTGCAGGCCATCGCTTAGAGGTTCGTAAAGTGGTCCCTACCCCCAGCAGTGTCGAAATTGTTGGCGTTTTGAACACCCCGCTTAATACTGCAGATCTGCAGAGTGCCCGGTCTGCTGTGCCGTAGATTATACCAATACATCTTGCAATCTTTCTCCCACTTGTCTCAATTGCATTGAACCTCAACCTCCTTTTTCCCGCCGTTGTCAGGTCTATTGTAATGAATGAGAAATCCGTTGTCTTAAGGAAAGAGAAGGCCTTACTTGTGCAATGGCTATCTCTCGGCTCCGCCTTCAGGGGAATCTTCCTCATATCCCTTATTCGCGAGTAGCGAGGATACCTCCAACCATGGCGGTCCCCCGCCTACCAGCTCCTCCGGTGTTGTGTCTTCCGGTATCACCTCCATCTCTAATTCTTTTGCTGTTTTACCATCTGAAACTCCCACCTCCTTACCTACTTCCACCCCTTTTCTCCCCTCACGTCTGATTCCCTTTCCACCTAGCTGTTTATAACCACAGCACTATTTTCTACCCTACTGCGCTGTATAACCCATGTCGGTTTAGCGCTTTCAATGATTATAGTCATAATAATTCTAAGCCTGGTGGTGGAGATGGTTGAGCGTCGGACTCTCAATTTACAGACTGCGGTTCGCGCTCCCTTGTCCATCTTTACATATGGACAAAAGGGAGCCAGGTGTAAAGCTCAGCTCAGAAACGAATAAAAGCTATAAATGATGAAATTTGGTATATTTGTGAGGAGAATTAGTGTCTCTATCTTGCGATCGTAATCTTCGTCTACTTGGGTTTAACAATATAAGAGCATAAGAACATAAGAAAGAAGGAACACTGCAACAGGCCTACTGACCCATGCAGAGCAGGTCCTTGTCCCCCCCCGGATTAGCCCAGTGACCCCCCCCGGATTAGCCCAATGACCCCCCCGGATTAGCCCAATGACCCCCCCGGATTAGCCCAATGACCCACCCAGTCTGGTCACCTCCACTCAAGGATGGAGCACGGCACCAGACCCAGCAGCACAAGTTAGTCTGGTCTAACTCACACCCACCCACACTCGGGAGTTTGTTCCACTCATCCACGACTCTGTTACCAAACCAGTGCTTTCCTATATCCTTCCTGAATCTGAATTTTTCCAACTTGAAACCATTGCTGCGAGTTTAGGCTTCGCATAATATATGATTTACAAATATGTGTGCATTAGACGTAATTGAGTGGAATGAAGTGGTCCATGGGAATTGAATGCTTCTGATGAATGAAGTGGTCCATGGGAGTTGAATGTTGCTGATGAATGAAGTGGTCCATGGGAGTTGAATGTTGCTGATGAATGAAGTGGTCCATGGGAATTGAATGTTGCTGATGAATGAAGTGGTCCATGGGAGTTGAATGTTGCTGATGAATGAAGTGATCCATGGGAGTTGAATGTTGCTGATGAATGAAGAATGAATATATAGAGAGACTTCAAACAATCGGCTGATGGACTGTACTCTTAAAACTAGAAAGGAAAAATTTGTCTTCCATGGGCCAACCGTGGCGTCTGTGCCCATTAGGAAAAGCAAATACAGGCAGGCCCCGCTTTTCAGCACTTCGCTGTACAGCGTTTCGCCAATGCAGTGGTTTTCAATTATTCCCATTCTTCATTTAAGGTAAGTAATGTATGTACTGTGTATGATTTTTTTTAGGCCTACCTCTATTGCTCACTTGATATATGATGATGGAAACATGTTATCAGGCTTTTATATGTATTTGAAAGTGATATGTTCCACTTCACAGCAGTAGCCCAGACCCTAACCTGCTGTACAAGCGGGGCCCACCTGTAAACAAGTGATAGTAACAGTTTTCTTCACTCTACCTTGGTAGAGCTCTGTTTTATTTAAATTATATCCACGCTTATTAATGCCATAATTTTGCTAATTTTGGACAAAGTTGGTTGACTGAGTGACAGTCAACCAACGACACTTTTAATTTATTTCCAGGAAGGTGAACGACGTTGAGAGGAAATTCGTTAATGAATCCAGATAATGCAGTTTTATATATATTTATTCCCATAAATAGATTGAAACAGTAATGTTTTGAAAGAAGCAATTAGTGCATTAATGCATATATGTGAGAACATACTTCAATCTTTGTTATCCTGTTTTAATTGGCTAATAATTTACAATGTCTCCATTATTTATTTCAGGTAGCGACGGAAAATTCCTCGCAGATGAAGGGTCCGTGAGAAGTGCAACTGTAATCAAAAAAATACCCTGTGAATTGCTGCAGGGCCAAGCAGTTCAAAGTTGTATTAAGCAGAGGGTGTCCAGGATACCAGAATGGGGTACTCACAGGTACAGTACCACCGGTTAACCAGTGCCAGTCGCTTTCTTCATATGAATCAGTGCCACCTATCCAGTGCCACAGTGGGCTATCTACAGTGAAAAGTAAATTTTAAATAAATGAGACTTCATAATCTATGCAAATCAAAGTTGTTCGAAAGAAATTAGGACATGAGAGAGTATTATTAGTTTGTAAAGTGAACAAAACTACACACAAACACACCATCCGTGCAACCACATATAGGTAAATACACACAACCAACACACACACACACACACACACACACACTAAAAGAAGAAGGCCAAGTATCAGTTATCTTCATTCCGAAACGTTTCGCCTACACAGTAGGCTTCTTCCCTTGAATACAGAGGAGACAACAGTAACAGTCTCCTCCATTTACAACTGAAGAAGCCTATTGTGCATGTGAAAAGTTTCGGAATGAAGATACCTAACAGTTGCACATTTGTCTTACATAACTACTTATCGGTATTGTATACCATAGTTATATAATTATACAGTATTCGATAATATAACGAATGTAAAAATGCTAACTGGGGAGAAACATTGATTGCAGTTCAGTAAATGTCCTAAAATATTGCATGTTTTTCCCACTTGATATAAAGAACTCCATTAGTACTAGTTATACAACTATGAGTGTGTCGGGAATATTTGCCTCTGAACAGTGACACACTTTCCTGATCTCAAGTACCAGTTAATCGTCAGGCTACCTTGAGCACTGATGATTAAGACACGTGTAATAGTTCGGTATCTTTACCGTGGAAACGTTTCGCCTACACATTAGGCTTCTTCAGTGAAACAAAGGTATCAGGTGTAGTAGTGAAATGAAAATGATGTAATCAGTCCTTCAGCCTTAGTTGGTAGACTGATTACACTTGTATGTTAGATGCTCATGCAGCTCAGTACACTCATTTCAAGAAAGGCCCACAAAGAATATAGCTGAGACAGCTTCATCATTGATATTGTGGAAAATTGCATTTATCTGAATGTATCATTATATACATAACAGTAAATGAGCACAGATAATTATTATTTATCAGTTAGACAAGTAGGAATTTGGGACACCTAGGTCGCAAAAAATGTCCCCCTTCGATACCTACCACTGTCATATCCACAAGTTGCTCTGGCCCTATTAATTACAAATGAAAAAATACATCACCAGGAATGCTGGTAAATATATAAATTTGTGGACTGTATATTAAATTAAAAAATGATTATATATAAATACACATTTACATAACAGAAGGAGAATATCTTAAAATCATAACACTCACCAATTTGACTGGAGATTAATGTGTCATGCACAGGACCCCACCTTTTGCCTACATTTATGAAGAATTTACTGGCCAGAAATTAAACATAATTTAGACAGCTTATCTGAGGTTCCTGGAGTTGTCCTGTCCTGTCACCTGATTCTCAAGTTATGCAGGAATGCACATCCAACAATTTCGCCTCCTATTTGTGAGGTGTCAATCCAATTTTAACCTCTAGAGCACGAAAAATTCTTCCCATTACATTAACGTTGTATCCAATTCAAAACCACAAAATGGCGACTGACTCCCCAAGCCGCAGGTTTCCCATTTTCGTTAACATACTTCTTTTAAAAATACAATACAGGGCATCTATTTACTATAAATTACCGTATTTCCGGAAAATGTACAAAGTATTTTCCAAAGATATTGTGGAAAATACTGTATATATTTTAAAGAAATACAGTAGTTATATGTAAATAGATGGCCATACTGTATTTAATAAAAATTATGTTATAAAAAATGGGAAATTTCTGCTCCTGCGCAGAGGAGACTCGACATGCTTGAATTGAGACAACACAAGCGTTAGTGAATAATGGGAAGAATTTTCATGCTCTAGAGGCTAAAATTGGGCTGACACCTCTCAAATAGGAGCCGAAATTGTTGGATGTGCAGTCCTGCATAAGGAGAGAATCAGGTGACTGGACAGGACTCCATAATTGAATGAAAACAGGATATTACCGCAGCTAAGTCATGTCTATATATTTATGTTTATAGTTCCGGCCAGTATTATTATCATAACTGTAGACAGGGGGGTTTTCTGAGTATGATACATATTAATCTCCAGTCAAATTGGTGAGTGATATTAAGCTATATTCTCCTTCTGTTATGTAAATGTGTGCATACATAATCATTTATTAATTTTAATATACAGTCCACAAATTTATATATTTACCAGAATTCCTGGTGATGTATATTTCATTTGTAATTAATAGGTCTAGAGCAACTTGTGGATATGACAGTGGTAGGTATCGAACGGGGACATTTTTTGTGACCTAGGTGTCCCAAATTCCTACATGTCTATGTAACTCTGATAAATAATAATTATCTTTGCTATTTACTGGTATGTACATTATGAGTTACATACAGATAAATGTAATTTTCCACATTTAATTTGCCTGTTGGTCCTTCTTGAACGGGAGGTAATTAGTGAAGTCATTAATTAATTAATTACTTAATAATTATATGTGAAATTACCGAAGGAGGTGGATGTTAAGTTCACAAAGTTATTTAATGTGTAGTGGATTATAATTATTGCAATATTAATTTTGATAAGACAAGTGTGGCTAAAGATTATATTAATGTGTATAATATTAATTTTGCTATGCAAAATTCTGGCAAGAATTTATATTAATTTGTATAATATTAATTTTGATAAGCCAAGTCTGGCTAAAGGTTTGTATTAATGTGTATTTAAAATTCATATTATAATTTCCTTACATGGGTAATTACTAAGCTCAAGTGTAGCTAACATTTTTAATGTGTATTTAAAATTTATATTACAATATTCTTACATGTAACTGCAAAGCTCAAGTGTAACTAGGATTTATTCAAAGGTAGGTTGTATCAGTGTTGTAAGTTGTAATCAGTGTTATTAATTAAGTTGAATTTCATACATTGCATCATGGCTGAAAATGAGGAAATTAATATAGAAAACAAACATATGGAATATAGAGCAAAGAAAGCATCACTACAGGCTAGAAAATGTCATGTAACCAAGGCATATAATAAGTGCTTGGAATTAATGAATCAAGAAACTGTGAAAACTGATGATTTAAACTTGTATTTAGATGCTTTAGGGAATAGATATGATTCATACAAATTATATTACAACAAACGTGAAGGAGATTTGTTAGTAAAACTGTGTAGATGAGACTGAAGTAGATCTTATGATTAATCAGTATTATGAATTAGAGGAAAAGATTCTTTCTTTTAAAAGTTAGGCCTTGAATAAATTAAAATGTGTAAACCAGGCAGTTAATCAGTCTTCTCCAACATATAAGATGTCTTTGCCAAAACTCTCAGAATTATGTTTACCTGTATTTAATCCTGGAGAAAATTGGGAGGAATTTTGATCAATGTTTAAAGCAGCTGTGTATGACAGGAGTGACCTAGCCTGTGTAACTATATTATTTTACCTCAAAGGACAGGTAAGAGGAGATGATCACATACTCATACAAGCCTTTCCCAATGTAGATGACTCTTACAAGGAAGCAATTGACTTGTTGAAAGTCACTTATGGTAATATAGAACAAAGTAGGTTGGATCTAGTGAATATCATTGTTAAATTAAAATTTCCAGATCACACTTACAAAGGTTTACAGCAGTTTAGAGTTAAACTGGAGAGCACTCTCAAAACTTTAAGTAATAAATATAATTTGAAGGAATCAGACTGGTTATTGAGTGCCATGGTACAGAAAAATTAAGCTATAAAACACTTGAATGTCTTTCGAACAAGTATCACAAGGGTTATTTTGGTCTGGAGGAAATAAGACTAGGTCTACAAGAATTAACTGTTCAGTTGCAGACAAGCCAACCAACTCATTTTAAAATGCAGCACATAATAACTCTGAAGTATCTGTCAAGTTTCACAAAGGGAAAAGTTATCCCAATGTTAATAATCAAAATTCATTTCCTAAAAATAGTTGCATAGGGACATATCAAGTAGCAGGAATCAGAAATAATGATTCTCCACAAGGTAAGAAGAATAAGTACCCTCCTAAGAGTAGCCCAGTTAATAAGAAACCAGTCAAAGAAAAGAGAGATTGTCTCTTCTGCAAGGGTACTCATTTTTCTAAGAATTCCAATGCATACAATTCATGGAATGATAAAGTTGAAAGATTGGAGGAACTTGACAGATGTATCAGATGTTTAGGTAATCACAATGTAAAGGATTGTCATGCCAAATTAAACAACTGTTATCAATGTCACAAAGGAAGACACCATATAATCATGTGTAAGGGTCTATATGACAATGTTGATAATAATGATAATGTTGACAATCCTGACACAACAGTAGCTAATGTAAAAATTGCTGCTAATGTTAATTATGATGGTTTTGGTGATGTAGCCTTACCTGTGTTACAGGTAAAAATTGATAATAAAAGGCATAAATCATAAAATGTAAATGCATTATTGGACCAGGGATCCCAGCGTACTTTCATAAAACGTAAATGTCTTGATGGTATGAAAGTACAGATGGGAGATCCCACAACTTTAAAATTATCTGGTTTTCTCTCAGATAAAAGGGCTCAATTGCATGCCACTGTTTATGTAACTGTCAGGTTGGGCAATGATAAAAAACGAGTTAATGCAGTAATTGTAGATAGACTTCCAAAGAAAATATCTACAGCAGGGCTTAGTAAAGCTACAGAAAAACTTTCACATAATGTAAATTTAGCACCTTCTGGTGTAAGTGATGTTTCTGTAGGCCCAATAAATATTTCGATAGGTAGTGACTATTATGCCTCCTTTGTAAAGGGTATGGTAAAGAAATGTGGTGTCACCCTTCCGAAGACTGCAGGAGGCCATGTAATGTACAGTAGGATTCCTCGTAATAATAATTCATGACTAGAGGAAACTACAAATACCATAACTGTGTGTCTTACTCATGAAATCGTACCCCAGTATAATTCTTCCATAGAGGATGGTGTTGAGCCAGTGTATAAATTGTGGGAATTAGACAGGAGCAATACCTGATAGATGTAAAATTTGAATCTGGACAATACTGGGTACGACTTCCGTGGAGATTGAACCATCCAGAA